GGTGCTGGAAATATCTCTTAAAGGGACACTCCAATGCCCACACACACAGAAAAATAATAATCACTCCTTAAAAGACATACCCCCAATACATTTAATTATGCATTTTTTTTCATTGGGGTATATCTACAAGCAACTTGCAAAAGCTGTAGATCTTTCTGCTGTCTTTGCAAGCCCTCTTCTTCATTTGATGCCTGTTCAATCACAGACTTTCCAATGCAGCTCAATGAGAAGTCTTTGCTAGGCAGTTGCTCTTAGCAATTGCTGCCTCTTTTAGCTCCAGTGAGTTAGCCAAACCAGGAAGTAACACAATCGGTTGTCTGATTGACAGCCAGGTGGTGTAAGAATGTTAATTTATAAAAGTGACAATTTCTGTTGAAATCTGCACATTTTGTAAATTTTAAAAAAGAGGACACACTGTTAACACATTTTGCTAAAGTGCTTTAAGGGTGGTTTAAGGGTGTTGGGCCATACTAATGTTTTTTTTGTGCCAACGCATTCTTGCTGTGGACCTTTTTTCTTTCTTAGTACAATGTAAGTCAGAACCAAAAATACAGCAATCATGTAAGGACAGATAAGGATAAAAAATGCACTACATATTATAAATGAATACTTTTAATAATTCATAAAACAACTTTTTTGTTTCACTATTTATAAAACAAGGTACAACGATTACTAAAAAAACGATACCATTAGAAGCCAGTTAGGAATGTGAGACAGGAGATATTTTGTTAGCACCCTAAAATTGTAATTAACCTTCTCAATTTTTATGACTATTTTAATTGTCACTGAACCATTTTAAAGTATGTAATATACACATTCACACAGAGTTTTACGATCTTGTGATTAATGTAACTTTTTTTTTTCTGAGTAGTGATATGTCCTTTTCAAGAGCGGGGTTGCATTCTTGAATCTTGAAGTGGAGGTGTGAATTACAATTCTACATCTGTGAGCAGCATAGGTGTAAAAAGGTGTCATGCTGCCATACTGAGACATTTAAGACGCAGAACAGCAATGTTACCATTACAAATCTAGGATTACTTGTTATGCACAAAACAAATGCAAGTTGTAAGACACATCACTTTACAACCAAGTGTTTCTTCTTATAATAAATCACTCGGTCACTTCATATGACTTTGTTCGTGTCTTCGCACATCTTAAAGAAATATCTCTAACATCTTTGAATCATTATTATGAAATGGACATTTTGGGCTGGAGCTGACCAGATATTTCAAATAAAGAAACAAATTACATGCACCTACACACACACACTTGCACATCGCCATTAAAGCCTTATTATACACTTTCCTCATCACCTTTCAGTCTTTCTTCAAGGTGCATAACAATAAATTAAACATAAGAACAGATTACATTTGTTCTTGCATCTACTGCTATTGCCATGCAGTACACCTACAGAAGTGAGCTGTCACCAAACGACAAAGCGACAAAGTCACTCGTGATATTTACTCAACTTTATATAGCACTGCCGAACCTGCACACAAGCAGTGCTATGTCAGCACAGCAATCTCTGCAGTTTGAGAGCAGGAGCATAAAAACGATATTACAAAGCAAAGCATTTAAAAAAAAAAAGTTTTTTTAAAGCAGATAAATAAAAAACCCAACATATGTGGGTACTTGGAATGCCCCCTTTAAGTCAAAAAATACTTTAATACAAAGTCACCAAAATGGTGGCACTTTCTAGATCTTTAGCCTCTTGATATAATCCAATACCTATAGGTGATTATTATCTGCTGCTTAGAACCCCAATTGATCCATGGCACCTTCTCTCACAAAGGAGAGAGAGATATATATATATATGCAAATGTGAGAGACTTCTGGTTCCTTCACTATAATATACATTTTGATTTAAGCAAATCTATTGAGTATTTACAAGACACACTCTGTTATATATTTCTACCTAGGTCACCCTAAGAACTAGCGCTTTTCTATATATAACATAACATATCTTTTCAGATATGCCTACAGACAAAAAATTGATAAGCATACTTGCCATTATAAAGGTTTCCTTTACTGGCATATACTTTGTTAGGGTTATCACTAGACTTGCTAATTAAATCCAAATGAAAAACAGAGGCAAAAATAGCTGATTAAGAAAACATGTCATACTCCATACACAACTCTTTTTTGACCTTCAGATTTAGTTTTACAAATTCAGACCATAATTAACCCGGTCTAAAACGGAAATTTTGAATGCTCAAAGGAAATGCCACTTTCACTAGTGGTTTTATTAGATAATTGGTATGTTTTAAGCTAATATTTAGTATATTTAGTAGTAGTAGTAGTAGTATTTATTATTTTATCTTTTTTTCAGAACCTGGGACCTGTCACTTTAGCAATTAAAGAAACAGCCATGAACAGTGACTTTGCAGTACATCCTTCTACAAAGAATGGAAATTCTGTCAAATTAAAAGCAAAGTAAGTACAATGCATCTGTTGGGAATTGGGTAATTGTGAATTACTGCACAACCAAATAGAATGACTGACTAGAATCATGAAATACCTACAAATTAGAGGACCATAAGCCCTCAAATAAAAAAATAAATACCCACGGTGTGAGGACCAAATTAACTGGTATTGTGCAGTTTATTGTCTATGGGTACATTAGATTTTCTATCTGCAGTGATTTATTAAACTTCTTAATATTTTATTTTATTCAACTTTTTCCACAAGAAGATGATTCAAGGACCTTGGGTGACCTCTCTTGATATTATATCCAGCCATATTTTTTTGTTTTTGGGAAGTTGCCACTGTCCCATTTAAAGCGGCACTGTCATGCCGAATTCTTTTTTTTTTTTTAACCCCTCTCCCGCCTCCACTACATCCAATTGACCCACTAGTCACCCCCAAATGCCCCCAAGCCCACCACATTACCTATTTTTTAATCCTTATTTTCTGCCCCGATCTATATTCAGGGCGCTGCCATCTTTGTGTGGGTAGGTGAAGTCCCTTAGGGACACGTCATCAGCCCACACTAGGCAGACACTGAGATTCCCGCACATGCCCAGTGAAACACCTGGACATGCGAACGGGAATTTCATCTATTCATTCATCCATCAGACAGACGAATGAGTGAATAGAAATATCAGCCGAACAAACAAACAAACACAATGTATCAGTGTGTGTTTGTTCGTTTAGTTTATTACAAGGAGGGAGCTACCGGCATGCAGCTCCCTCCTTGTAATATGTAACTATAGAAGCGGCAGGGAGCAGTGCTCCCCACCACTTCATAAGCCCCCCCAGTACCCACTCTCACTCTATGGGGGTCAATATGACCCCCATAATAGCACAAGGGAGATAAAAATCTCCAAAATGCCCCTACTCGCTATACCGCGAGTAGGGGCATGTCCACTAAACAGCGAGCAGCCTGTGGCTGCTCACTGTAAAAAAACAACAACAACAAAAAAAACAACTATTGGCCCCCACCCCTAAACAGTGAGAATGAGGGGGGGGGGCAGTACTCCCCCCACCCCTGGGCGGCGGGTGGGGGCCATAATGAGAATGGGGGGGGGACCTACTGTCCTCCCCCCCGCCCCCACCCCTGGGCGGCGGGTGGGGGTCATAGTGAGAATGAGGGGGGGGCAGTACTCCCCCCACCCCTGGGCGGCGGGTGGGGGCCATAATGAGAATGGGGGGGACCTACTGCCCCCCCTGGCCCCCACCCCTGGGCGGCGGATGGGGGCCATGAAGATAATGAGGGAGGGGACCTACTGTCCCCCCCCCCGGCCCCCACTCCTGGGCGGCGGGTGGGGGCCAAAAGGAGAATGGGGGGGACCAACTGCCCCCCCCCGCCCCCACCCCTGGGCGGCGGGTGGGGACCATAGTGAGAATGAGTGGGGGGGACCTACTGCCCCCCCCGGCCCCCACCCCTGGGCGGCGGGTGGGGGCCATAATGAGAATGGGGGGGACCTACTGCCCCCCCCGGCCCCCACCCCTGGGCGGCGGGTGGGGGCCATAATGAGAATGGGGGGGGGACCTACTATCCCCCCCCGGCCCCCACCCCTGGGCGGCGGGTGGGGGCCATGAAGATAATGAGGGGGGGGGACCTACTGTCCTCCCCCCCTCGGCCCCCACCCCTGGGCGGCGGGTGGGGGCCCTAAGTCAATTACCCCTCCCCCCCAAGGTGACTAGGGGTCCCCAAGCCCCTAGTCACCCACCCCCCACCCAAAAAAAACAAGTCCCTACCTACCCCCCTCACCCTAAAAAATAGTGAGGGGGGGATAAAATAACTAACCTGTAAAATAAAATTAAACTTACCATTCGACGTCTTCTTTTTTCGCAAATCTTCTTTTTTCAGCCCCAAAAAAGGCCAAATAAAAAAACCATCATAACCGTCGAATTGAAAATAAAATAAAAATCCCGAGCGCAAAAAAAAAAACCTGACGAAAAAAAAAAACCAGAGCGCAAAAAAATAATCCATCTTCACCCATGGAGGGCTCCGCACAGACTGAGCTCCGCAGAGCCCCCCGCTCTGCGGAGCTCAGTCTGTGCGGAGCCCTCCATGGGTGAAGATGGATTATTTTTTTGCGCTCTGGTTTTTTTTTTTCGCGCTCGGGATTTTTATTTTATTTTCAATTCGACGGTTATAAAGCCTTGCCCCGCCCTGCAATTAGGTTAAGAACACTCTGATTGGTGGGTTTAAGCCAATCAGAGTGTTCTTTGTCATTTTACACAGCGTGGGAAAATTCAAAAGAACTTTCCCACGCTATGTAAAATTACAAATAGCACTGTGATTGGATGGATTTCAAGCCATCCAATCACGGTGCTCTGTGTCATTTTACACAGCGTGGGAAAATTCAAAAGAACTTTCCCACGCTGTGTAAAATGACACAGAGCACTGTGATTGGATGGATTTCAAGCCATCCAATCACGGTGCTCTGTGTCATTTTACACAGCGTGGGAAAATCCAAAAGAACTTTCCCACGCTGTGTAAAATGACACAGAGCACTGTGATTGGATGGATTTCATGCCATCCAATCACGGTGCTCTGTGTCATTTTACACAGCGTGGGAAAATCCAAAAGAACTTTCCCACGCTGTGTAAAATGACACAGAGCACTGTGATTGGATGGATTTCAAGCCATCCAATCACGGTGCTCTGTGTCATTTTACACAGCGTAGGAAAATTCAAAAGAACCCTTAAAATTAAAGTTTCCCTCTTTGTCCATTTGAAATGTTGTGAGGCATGTAACCCTTCTTCTTTGCTTAACCATGGTGGCAAGGCAAGCTTGAATTGAGTAACTGGCAATGGAGCATGTTCTTATTTTTTTCATTTATATCCAGGCTCACATTTTAATTCTTTTGGCTAAGCATTTCAAATGATTACAGTCTGTTAGAAAAAAAACTTTTCAAATTATTTATCTACAAAAAATTTCATAGAGGTTTTTAGTGACTTTTGTAAATAAATCACTTGCAACCTTTTCCCAACAAATTGTGATGATTTGAATAGCTTATCCAAAACAAATGAAATTGGGGAAATAGTCGGCAAAGGTTTGTGTAGAGAGCAGGGGACATGGCTCCTGTGGTTGAGTCTTGGGGTAGGACTGATGGAGTTTTTCTTTGCTCTCCAGCTGCAGGTGTTTCTAGAACCTTGCAACATCCTTAGTAGTATTAATTGTAGACTTTATATACACATACAAATAATACAATATTTCTTTAGGAATGTACGGGAGATTCATGTGGAAAATATACAACTTGAGATACAAAACCAGGAGATGGAGCAGAAATTGAATCAATTGCGCCAGATGATGAGTAAAGAGAAAGAAGAAAGAGAGTAAGTAATTCACCTTATTTTCACCAAACCTAGAAAATCATTTAGCACTCTCAAACAGAGATCCAGATGGGCAGTAAAAAAAAATACCCAAAAAAGCCAAAACTTTAATTTTAAGTTAAAAATTTTAATTTAAATTTAGTCCTGAAAAGCTGAACTACTGAAATTACAAATATCTTGGCTTGGAAGAATAAATATTATCAGAGCATATTTACTTCCAAAATAAGGATATCTACTTCGCACCATCCCACTTAGAGTCCCAAGGAAAATACTTAAATAGTTTCATGGTCTATTTGTATCTTATGTTTGGGGCGATAAAAAAACAAGGATTGCTCTTAAAGTTACGTCAGCTAGATTAGCAGAAGGAGGTTTATCATTTCCAAATACATTTTATATCCATGACACAGTTATGTTTTCACAATATTTAGAATGGGGAAATAAAAACTCAAAGCAGAAAGCTTGGTATATATTTAGCCTATGTAATACCTTTGACCCTTTCGATCTTTTCTGGATTGATAAAATACTTTTTTTTTTTTTGACAATTTAAATTTTTTCAAATGTAGATTGGGTACAGAAATGAAGAGGGAAGGGATTCATAGTAAATAATTTCACATTTACGTGTTGCAGGTACATTATCATGGTTAAGTTTGTGTCTTTGTTAAGGTTTAAGACTCTATGCATGTCACAATTGAGTGTGGGTTAAACAGTGGCTATAGCGTCTCATAAACACCATTTACTACTTTTTTGGTTGTGGCCCTTACTCGTGGCGGCCTGGGTTATTGGCTTTGCATGCTACTTGCAACGTCGGTGGGTGTGCGGGATTTGGGTGGGGCTAGGGGGAGTGGGGGGGAAGAAGAGGGTGTGCCTGTCGGGGCATGGAGGGGGTGTAGCTGGGTTCATATAGGTTATATATGGTTCAGTTTGGAGTTTTCGTAGTTGGGCGTGTTCGTCCCCTCTCCGTGAGGGTTTTAATGTTCTTGTGTGTCATGTTAATGGGGTTTGTTTTTGTCCCACAGATCCCACGCTGCTGACCAGTGGAAGCTTTTCTGCTGTTTCTCCCGTGCTAAAGTTTCATATAGTTTGGTGTGCTCTGTTGTTTCTATGCATTGTTTGATCGTTGGGGTTGTTGTTTGCTTCCACTGTCTGCTTAGGACAGTGAGAGCTGCAATTATAATGTGGTATGCCATGTATTTGAGGTGTGTATGTGGCTCCTGTGGGAGCAAAAGTAGGAGGAACGTTTCAGGTGTCGAGGGTAGTTTCAGCCCCGTGCATCGGGTCGTTAGGTTTGCAACTTGTGTCCAGTAGTGTTGAAGCAGTGGACAGTGCCACCATATATGTATCAGAGTCCCTCTGTTTGTTTGGCATCTCCAGCATGTGTCAGATGTATCAGGGAAGCTGTGTTTGAGTCTTGTGGGAACTAAATACCATCTGTAGAGTAGCTTGCGTGAAAGTTCTAGGTGATTTGTACAGAGTGTCAGTCGTTTGTGAGCTTGATAGATGTCTTGCCATTGCTCATCCATGAGCGGGTGTCCGATGTCCTTTTCCCATGCTGATTTGAAGGAGGGTCGTTGTTTTCGGCATTGTATATGTTCAGAGGCGTAAATCAAGGATATGAGTTTCATTGCCGGTTTGGTCTTTGTACATATCTGTATTATTTTAGTCCAATGCGGTTCTGGTATCTGTGCTTTTGGTTGTGCCGGTTGAGAGTTCGTCCAAGATTGTATTTGCAGGTAAGAGAAGGTTGCTGTGGATGGCAGAGTGTATTCCGTTCCGAGGTCTGAAAATTTCTTGAGTTTGTTGTCCTGTAACAGTTGGGACATGGTTGTTACCCCATGTCTTTGCCAGAGCTTGTGGTTAAAGTCGGGGTTGAATAATCATAGTGCTTCTATAGGGATTGCTGGGGATAGTGTTGTCGTTGCTCCCATCTTTTTCCGATAGCTGTTCCATATTGAGAGGGTTAATGCAGTAGTTCAGCATTTCTTGGTCTGTGGGTTTTTGGTAGCCATGCCAGAATTGGTTCTTCTCTATTTCGGCCCATGCCGTTGGTTTACAGTTATGCGACGCTGTCAACAGTGGTGCTACTTGAGCTGCTCGGTAGTAGCCTCTTACTTCGGGTAGGCCCATCCTGCCTTGGGCGAACGGTTTGTACATTGTAGCTTTTGCCACTCTCGTTTTTTTTTATAATCCCAGACATAGTTGTTCAGTGTGTTTTGCAGTTCTAGTAGGTACTTTTTTAGGAGAGCGAGTGGTAGTGTGCGAAAAAGGTATTGGATTTTTGGTAGTATTACCATCTTCACTGAGGTTATCCAGCCTGTCCATGAGATGTATTTCCCCCTCCAATTTTGGAGGATACTTTTGATTTCAGTTGTCAGTTTGGTGTAGTTTGCCTTAAAGAGCGTGTGCGTTGTTGGTGTCAGGTTGACCCCTAAGAATTTGATGTGGTCCCTTCTCCAGTCGTAATTGAAGTTCGTTTTTAGAGTCGTCAGGTCTGGGTTGGGGATATTAATTCCTAGGGCTAGTGTTTTTGCAATGTTTAGCTTGTAGTAGAAGCATTTACTGTATAGGGAGAGGATCTTGTGGAAGTTAGGTAGGGATATGTGTGGCTGTTCAAGTGTTAGCAGGATGTCATCAGCAAATAGAGATAGTTTATATTCTCTGCCTTTGGTTTTAATCCCGTGTATGTCTGGGTTGCATCATATTAGTTGGGTGAGCGGTTCCAACACAAGAATGTAGAGTATCGGGGAGAGTGGGCATCCCTGTTTGGAGCCATTTGAGATGTGAAATGGTTTTGAAATAAATCCCCCGTTTACTACGCGTGCTGTTGAGGAGGAGTATAGTGCGGTGACTAATGATAGGAATTGTGGTGGAAAGTCAAATTTCCTCAGGACTGCCAGTAAAAAGGGCCAGTGAAGCCTATCAAAGGCCTTCTCTGCGTCTAGGGATAGTAGGACGCTGGGATCTTTTTTTCCCTGTATCTCATATAGTAAATCTAAGGTTTTGCGTGGGCCGCCCACTCCTTGTCTGCCTCCCATGAGCCCCACCTGGTCCTCACCTATAATTGTGGGGATAATGGGTGCCAATCTGTTGGAAAAGATTTTTGCAATAATTTTTACGTCTGTGTTCAACAGAGAGATGGGTCTTGGCAGCGGGTTGGGGGCTTTCCTGGTTTGGGGAGCGTGGCGACGTGCGCCATGAGCATCTCTGATGGCATCGTCCCCATTTGTAAGGCATGGTGAAATGTGTTTCTTAGTTGGGGGGCTAGAATATTTGCGAACTGTTTGTAATATGAATTGGTCAGACCGTCTGGGCCTGGTGATTTCCTGTTCGGGAGGGATTGGATAGTGTCTATTATTTCTTGCGTGGTGACTGGGCTCTGTATGTTATCTTTTTGTGTGGGCGTTAGTTTGGGTAATGTTGTAGTTTGGAGAAAGCCGTCTATTTCGTGCGTGGTGGGTTGGTGTAGCGTAGAGTCTGTTTTTAGGTTGTGATAGGAGTCGGCCATGCTATCATTGATGTCTTGTGGATTGCGCAGTTTCTCTCCTGTGTTCGTGATCAGATGTGGAATTTTGGAGTTTGCTTGTTTTTGCCTGAGTAACAGAATCGAGGCCCCTCTCGATTTGGATGTGTGTGTTGCATGGTATTGTGTGGTGTATTCTCTGGTGGCGAATGTGGGGATGCGGTTGGTGACAAAATGTGTTTCTTGTATGCAGACTATGTCTGCTTTAGTTCTTTTTAGATCCTCCAGTAGTATGCACCTTTTGTGTGGCGTGTTGAGGCCCTTTGTGTTGTGAGATCATGTTGGTAGCTACGTGGGCAGTGGGGGGTGGTTCTTTGTTTACGTGTCAGATAGTTCTGTAGGTTTGTGGTTTTGTTGATTTTAGCGGGGGGTGGGGGAGGGGTGGTGAGAGTTAGGGGGTAGAGTCAGTTGTGTTGTGGTGTTATGTACAGATACCCTATGGTCTGGTACGCTATTCGTACCATGGGGCTTTGGATGGGAGTTTCCAAGCAGTGGCTAGTTGGGCTCCATATAGAATCTATGAGTATAATTAAAGCTGGACTTGTTGTAACGGACTAAAAAACTGTAAGGTATAAGTCATTAAAGCATTATAATGTAACATTCAACATAATGGTAAGAGGCATGCAAGCAACGGTATCTTCATTCTCTGGTCATACGTCTAGCCATATCAGTTACTCAGTGTAGTAGCATCGTGTACTTCACACTCCCATACCCTGTTTATGTTTGGGGAGCTTGGGGGTGTCTGTGCTGCCTCAGGCGCTAATGTCAG